AGACGCATTAATTAATGGATTTCTACTGCTTGTGGGTATTTACTTCTCGTGAGGAAGGTTTTTGAATTTTAGTTGTTCCGACAGGAGTTGTGGATATTGACTGCTCAGCAACATTACGGATATAAGTTCATCACATTATATCAGGAATGTTGGGTTGTAGTTGGTGAGGCATATATGATGTCCGACGAGCGCACATCTGTCCATGTGATGTTGTGGTGAGTTATATCTTTTTCATGTTGTCGGTTTATGTCCATTTTATTCCACTTATTGTGTTGGGTAGAAGTTTTACAAACGAAACTTCTTGTCTGTTTGAGGGTAAGTATCTTAATCGTTAATGTTTTATCTAAAATTATAAATATAGGCAAAAACAACAGGTGTAGTATTTGAGCTAATACATTAAATGGACCTATAATTTCGGAGGCTCTCAGATAGGAACTAGGACTACTGTCGGCTAAAATGGTGAAAAAAGGAGACACAAGACAATAGACCCCATAGGAGCACGAGTAGACCTCAAGGAATTATGTACAGATGTATCCGTATGTATACATACACATTCAATTTATAAAGAAACCATGAATTTTATTGACACACCGACTAGTTTTGTTTTACTGGGTTTTATACTTCGTGAATGAGCCAACATTTATACATTGTTTAGTATGTCCTTCCAGTACAGTTAACATTTATAAACGAAGTATATTGTTACTCATACATTTAGTGGAATAAGTACCTCTACGTGCGGTGAAAAATGTATGGATGTTAGATGGCGGAGAGCAGTGTCGATCTGGAAGAGGCTGGTGAATGAAGTGATGAAAACAGGGACTGTGTTTACGTACATTCCAAATGACTGAAAACTTATTTAAGAGGAAATTGGCCTGCATGTGAGTCTGACAGTGTGTTGTAGCAAGTGGATTGACATGATTTCTAAGATTGTAACTGATTGTGGAGACAGATCTAAGTATCAACCAGGGGGACTGCAACAGCGGATTAGTTAACTTGTAGTGGAAAATGAGGATTAGCTTGAGCCAGCCTTACCACTGTAGAGAACACGGAAAATAAACCTTGGAGTAATTAATAAGCGACCCTCAGTGATATCTGCAGAAACATTGTTTTCTCATGTTTCAGAGGGAGTTCAGGACTCAAGATAACGCTATGCCCGATAGTTTCACCGATTAAATTGAAATGAAGTTTAGGATAAACGAGCAGAACAAATACATCTAGTGAAAAACCTAGGACTCGGACCAAGAAGACAGTCATATCAAACCATGGTTCTGTGGAAAATTGCCTTTAAGAGGATGCTGATGTAGAGTTTCTACATGACAAATAACGTTCTGTAAGTTGTAGAATCTCTCAGTAAGTAGTTGGTGATCGAGGAATACAGAAAGCCTAGGTGAGTACTCGTTTTTATACCTAATTCAGCACTGTGTGCTACAGAGCAACCACTCCGTCTAGACTTTGCAGAAGGATTTTCGTAGCGATCAGTTCTACTTATGCACTGACGATCTTTTTGGCCTTCGAAAAATATGCTGTCAATGTAGTTGAAGATTGAACGACCAATTCTTGGTTGTTTGCTCAAAACCAACTTCCCCAATTTTCGCGAAGGCATCAATAGGATAGTCATCGTCTCATCAGTCGCTGTTCAGAAAGAAGTCAGGAGACAAATGTCAGAAGTAATATTGTGATTCATTATTGTAATATTTGTTCACAGACCTTAGTTGTAACATTGTTTATATGTTGGTGTTACAATAAAGAATCCTCGAGTCGCCAATTGGTGTTTTGGTTTTTGCGTCCGTTATTACTAAGCGTTTCTGAGAAACTTCAAGGAACAGCGTGAGCCCGAGCGTAGCAAGAGCTGGGCATTAACGGTTTACGAGACGTGGCTGACATATGCGCATCAGTGAATTTCTTATTACCAGTTAATTTGACACTAAACACACAGGACATTCGAAATTCTTTTTTGAATGCCTCGATAAATATGGGACTGCAGCTGAGAATTTAAAGATGCGCTTGTGAGGAATTAAGTGAGAATGAAAGCTACTTTGAGGTTACTTGGCACGTAGCTTAGCGGAAAACCACAAAAGATATTCCAATCGGTGGAAAACGTACAAAATGGCCACACGTAACATCACATATAATTGCGCGGATCCCCTGGTACAAAAACCCATAAAACCAACCACACGAAGAAATTCAAGCTGTCACTAGCTGCTCCATTCCACCAATTCAGGTAGGCTAGAGGAAAGGCACGACAAGTTGTTAACTGTAACTGATACACTCACTCAGTGATTTGTATAATAGCTTTTCCTCATTCGACAAACGCTTAAGTTTTTCAAACCATTGAACAGCTTCAGAAGATAGGCGTAGGATGTGGATGTGTCTACGTAGTCGGCTAATAGTAGCTGAAAAAAAGCTTGGCTAGAGCCAATGTGACTGCAAAGCCTCGCCAGACCCGAAAAGTTGTTAACTTTCCCAAGTAGAAACTTAACAAGCTGGTGGTTGACCGCGTGTCAGTATGTAAGTCACAACGAAACACTCTTGCAGCGCTTCTTTTAAGCCTCTCTGGATTGGTATAAGGGAAGCGGCCAAGTATGTTTCGAATTTCATTTATAGCATTGATTCTCAAAGTTTTTGGTACATGAGAGACTCCAGCTTTCGGTCATCAGCAATACAAAGCACATAATAATATCAGCCTGCGTACTGGTTCATAAATCACATAGGCATTTTCTTACCCCGAGATTATGTGTACCATTGAAGTAATAGTGCAGACATGATTGTAAAAACACTATCATGTAGTTAATCAGCGATAGTTAATTCTCCAAGTGCACCCATTCACGCAATATTCATTATGCCCAGAAAACATAATCAAATCAAAAATAGTGTTTGTTGCATATCTTGGTCGACATAAAAAGAAAATTAAAACCATCCTCATTATCTACATATCATCTCCATCATTTTAGTTGCGGAATTAATCTCTTATGCAAGTTGTCTGTATAGTTGTCAGACTGAGTACATATAAATGCAAGATTAATTTATTTCACCTACTGATAGACTGGCCTGTAGCCTGTTACCAGGAAAGTCCCTGACCTGAATATAAGAGGGTTCGGAGACTACACTCTTCAGTATGGAAGTTCCTAATAGAAGCGAGTGGAGCAACTCAGTGATATACTGTACTGTACCTAAGATAAATGTTGGGTACAACTGCACACGGTGTAAAGATAAACAAGTATTGAGTTACAATTGGCATTGTTCTCTAAGCTGGTTGGTTTAGTTGTGGGGCTTTCGTCGTCCTACAGCAAAACATCTTCAGCGCAATATCTAGCATAAAGTGAACCGATATAAATTTTCCATGAGTGACAGAATTGCTTCTCCCGGTGGTATCGAGTTACTACTGTCCATAAAATAACCACCTAAAATAAACGCCGTCATCTGGAATATTGTTTTTCGAGGTTTCATTTAGACCTGCTCACTTACTTCAGGTCCTCACTGATCGGTACTCACAAATTGCCTTAATATACAGTCTATCTGCAACACGTATTCAGCTATTTCTTCATCTTGAGATTAAATAGCGTCATTACAATCACTGCGAAAATTACTTCACAGGGTAGATAGTTGTGCTAATTACTACATTACACTTATTCTCGCCTTTCTAAACGTAATGATCCTACTGTCACTACCTGACTTGTATGCAATGATAACCAGACAAAAATCAAGAGACTCAGTTATTTAGCAGAATGCCCTACTGAGCAATATGTTTAAACAGAATATAAATGTTAAGGCCATTAGGAGGAAGGATTTTTAGAACTTATCTGGCTAGTATGGCTGTACTACGGACTCCAAGAAACGCGTGTGTTGACAGCACAGAGTGGAAGAGACAAGACGAAAACACCAAGGCAAGAAAAGATGGAGTGGCGCCATCGTACGTGTATGCGTGCAAATATTCACGGTGAGCCACAACCTATTGAAAAGAAGGGCTAGCAATTTTCAACCGATTATAAAGCGAAACGAAACTGTTCCAAATCGAATAATATTGACAACAAACTTATGAAGAAGTGCAAGATTATTGTCTTACTAAACATATTTTTAGGTAAACACGGTACAGATCGCTAAGTATGAGGTCGTTCTTCACCAGATACAAAAAACAGAGTGGTTGGACACAAATGACTCTTGGTCTACAAAGAAGTACATTCAAACAAGAAATTTACGGCTGTCTCATGGATCACAAAGTGTCTAATTTACACAAGATGCAAAATGGTATATAGAGTGCAACTTCAGTGACTGAAGGTGTATTATTAGACGCAACAAGCACCATTCTACATATGTGGATTAAGTTAGTGGTGCCTTGCTCACCTCAGCAATCAGAGGCCAAGGCTAATCTACACATTTTTAGGACTTATTTACTCCTACCGAAATTCGTTTACTCACTTCTCTGTCAGAACAGACACTTTGAGAAAGAGACCTGTTATGAAAATAGTCTCAGTATAGGTGATTTCGAGGCATTTCTAATACCGATTGTTGTGCTCTTAGCCAAGTAAAACCATTATCCAGATGTTCCCGGAGACTCGAAACTCTCAGGTATTAGGGGGGGGAGATGCCTTCTTAGCCTTTCAGTGCTGAGTAACTGGACATCATACATCTGACATAATCTAATATTCTGAAATTCAGAAAATTGGGTTGATAATGAAATCGTAACACATTCCTGATCTGTTTAGTGCTCGTGAAATCCCTATTCACCAATTCCTCAGATTTGTGCATTTCCGAGTATTTTATCAAATGCCTGTTAGGTGTATATCGAAAGTTTTGTTCTTAATAATGAAAAATTAGTGGAGGGAAATTTTTTAAAATTTTCCCTCGGATAGTTATACATACATGTTCTCATAGTTCACATAAATCTTCACTCAACTCCACAACATATCCTTTTCTTTTAATCATATCAATCGTGTAATGACCCTAGTTAGCGGGATTCTCTGAGATTCAAACGTGTTTCTGTCAATTGCATTTCCCTATTTATGACTTCGGAATTAGACATAGATGAGTTTATCAGCAGACTTCTGGAAGGTAATTTTTGAATTGGATTTGCATTTATAGTTCAGTCCGGACGTCTAGGCCTGGGACTACGGTTAACATGAAGGAAGAGGAAGTCCGGTATCTCTGCGTAACTTCCAGACAAATATTCTTATCACAACCCATTTTACTGGAACTTCAGGCTCCTTTAAAGATTTGTGGTTAGTCAATTGCATCAATACCTATGTTTTTTTCATTAAGATGTCTCTCATCTGTTAATTGTATGTTAGCATATCTGGCTATGTTAGGTAGTTATCCTCTAAGTACTTAGGTACTCTAGCTAAACACTTTAGGTTTTGGTGATTCTGGAACTATCATTACTTTTTGTAAAGTGCCTAAAATAGTCGTGACGGGAGAACAGTGCTGTAGATGTGAATTAATTAATTTGAATTTTGTTGTACTGTCGATGGTGCCTTTAATTGAAGAGATGAGTGTGGTAGATGTTGGGTTTTTGGCTATCATTTCCAGGACCACACGTTCCCTGTGGGTCTCGGCGACTACATTTCTTTGCTTGTCTTGAAAACAGACAAAAAGCACGTTCCTTTCTGGGTCTAGCAAAGCCAAGTGTACACTTCCCTTATAATTCTTTTTAAGAATAGATTAACAACTTAACATGCAAAACACTAGAGATTTTACACTTTCCCTACGACTGTCCGTGGTTCGAATTCCGCTTCACTTATTTCAACTTTTTCATCAACCCTTGCGCAACCTGGTTAACTAGATCCCAGATAAATGCATGCTTAAGGCCGAACTACGGGATTGTCTCGGTAAACAGTTTTTGTATTTAGTATTTGACGTTCATTCTGAAATATGCGCAGCTACTCTTAACTGGTCTAAGCTTATTGTTACCCGCCTCCAGGTTCTGAACCCAGGTAGTAACCTCAGAGTAGATTGTGAAGATGTATCTCGTGGGCTTAGGTGGTGAACTTCCTGCTAGTTGATGGCGTTTTTTAGCCCCCTTTCATCTCCTTAAGTTTGAACAGCCAGATAGTATCACTAACACAACAAAGATGTCTTAGCGACGACAATATTTAAATGCATTTACTCTCTGGATGTCATTATTTTACTATCATTTTTTGGGGTTCCGAGTGGGAACAACAGTCTGACGCATAATTCAGTCCACCACAATTAGGAATATCACCAGTGATAATAGGCAAGCAGCATTGTCTTACAGCTGTATGCACTTCAAGCGCCTCGCTGAGTTTCGCGTTGTTGATCACCTAACACGACATTATCATATAGCCTTCTGTTGAATGAGGTTGATAAAGGCTTGAGCACTACGTCTTGGTGTTGAAGTAGTTTCCAAATTGCTTCTCACCCAACGTTGTCTGTTAAAGGCCTTTTCAAATTCGATGAATTTGAGGTAGAGGTTTGACTGCTATTCTATGTGTTTTCTTCGATGGCGATGTGTAGGGTTGAAGTTGATCAGCACATTATTTGCCTTTCCTAAATCCAGTTTGTTCCGGTTGGTGGTGCAGTTCTGCATCCAGTGAAACCTTCATTCTCTCCAGAATGACGTGACTTAGTGTTTTACTTGGCGTGAACATGAGCATTGTTCCACACCATTTTTTGCAGAGGTGTAATTCGGCCTCTTTGGTAGTTTGATAAGGTATCTAGCTTGTCTTCCAGTCGTTAGGTACCTATCCTTTCTTCCGAACCTTCTGCAATCATCGCTGGGTATCATAAATGCTACTTTTATGACAAAGCAGTCTGTCTGTCTGTCTGTTTTCGACATAGAACTTTGCACAAATGTGCGGAAGTTCAAGTCGCCACATTCCGTGTAGCACGCGAAGCAAGAGAAGAAAGTACAAGAAAAGCAAATAGAAACAGTGAGCAGAGGTGTGAGACAAAGGAGTAATAAAGAAATACAAAACAGTTTCATTGGAGATCATAAGTCACAGGGAGTGGATGCATCTGCGCCACTGAGAACGATTTTGAGCCATGTCACCAATTGTTTCCAACCATAGATTTTTACCGTCCCGAGGACCCCAGCCTGGAAGTCTACACCTTCCTACGTGGCTTAGACCAACTGTTGTGGATTTCATTGACTGATGCCAAGTTTTTGTTTGACCGCCGCTAGCTTTTTTCCAGCCTGACCCTATATCCGCTAACATTGCTCGTCGAGGGAGGCGATGGCTTGGCATACGTAACACATGTCCTAACCATCTCAGTCGATGTAGCTTCACGACTTCGTCGATTGATTTCCCCTGTTTACCTAGAACTCTACGCCTAACCTCCATGTTGCTCACCTTATTATGCCACTTTACACGGGAAATAGAACGCAGGCACCTATGATCAAAGACAGCTAGTCTTTTCATGTCTTCCACTCTCAGTGGCCAGGTCTCACAACCATAAAGGAGGACGGAGCGGACTGATGAGCAGTACACCCGCCCTTTGGTCGATAGTCGAACATCTCGTCTACGCCAGAGTCGGCGTAAACTAACAAATGCGAAACGAGCCCCTTGTATTCGTGCTGAGATTTCGTCAGAGATCAGCCCGTTGGGGCTGATGGTACTTCCCAAATAAGTGAAGCGGTCAACGTGCTCTACCACTTCACTTCCTATTTTTAAACTAGGCGTCGATGTAGTCCAGTCCTGTAACATCATCTTGCATTTGGCGGGAGCGAATCGCATGCCAAACATTCGTAGATTGCTGTTCAAGGTGTTTAGAAGACTCTGCATTTCGTCAGCGTCTTCGCCTAGAAGGACTATATCGTCTGCATATTCCAAGTCAACGAGATTATTCCCAGGTAGCAAGTCAATCCCTGAATCGCTGAAGTCACCTAGGGTTAAGTCCATTAACACATCTATGATGAAGTTGAATAGAAAAGGAGATAATGGGCATCCTTGACGGACACCACTGGTCGTCATCAGTTCAGATGACAGCTCGCCGTAAGCCCTCACCTGGCTGTATGAGTACGAATAGAGTGCCTTAATCAGTGCAATATATTTTCTCGGAATTCCCTTTACAGCCAAGCATCTCCAGAGAACTTCCCGATCGACAGAGTCGAATGCTGCCTTTAGGTCAAGAAATATAATGACTGTTGGACGCCGGTAGGAATGCCTATGTTCTAGAATCTGTCGGAGGGTGAAGATATGATCAATACACCCTCTTCCTGGTCTAAAGCCTGCCTGGCTCTCTCGTGTTTGTGCTTCCCGAGCACCACTCAGTCTACGCATGATTATTGAGCCTAAGACTTTAGATACTATATTAGTCAAGCTAATCCCTCTGTGATTATCACAGGAAGACTTGTCTCCCTTCTTGTATATGGGGATAATCAGTGACTTACACCAACCCGATGGGACTTCTTCTGATTCCCAAACGCTGCCTAGTACCTCAGTTAATCCGGACAGTAAGCTGTCTCCACCGTACTTAAATACCTCTGGAGTCATTCCATCAGGTCCCGCTGCTTTGCCTAGTTTCAGATTGGTGACAGCTTTAGTAACCTCAGTTAGTGACGGAGGACCTGTATCTATATCCCATTCAGGGAGGTGTTGGATGCTCGGAAGGTTGAGCGTGGCTGTGGGCAAATTAAACTGCTCCTCATAATGCTCTTTCCAACGATCCAGTCGTCTATCCTGTGAGCTAATTATAGTGCCATTTTTTTCCGAGATTGTCTCACTAATGATTTGTCTTCTCCCACCCGTTTCCCTGATGAGTCCAAAGAGTTGCCTGGTGTTGCCTATCCTCGAAGCTTTCTCCATCTCTTTGGCTTTTGTCGCCCACCACTGTTCACGGTCCTTGCGGAGACTTTTCGTAAGTTTCCTCTTGTGCAGCTTTCGCTCCTCATTGAATTCGGAGCTCGCCGGAATAAGTCTTCTAGCATCTATCAGTTCGGATGAGGCGGTGGAGATCCAGTGGTTTTTACTCACCTTTGGGTTTACCTTATTCACAGCTTTTACAGCTGTATCTATGGCTGCCTGGATATTTTTCCAAGCTTCTTCAGGGTGAGCACAGCTGTCGAACACAGATATGTGTTTAGCTAGTTCTTCCTCAAATACGGATTTAGTTTCCTGATCGAGCTGGGGACGTGATGGTTTTACCGCCAGCTGTTTCCTACGTCCGTTCAGTCGTAAGCACACCCGAGCGCGGACCAGTGCATGGTCGGTATCTACGCACGTGTTCCAGAAGGAGCGACAATCTCCTACCGACCCACGCCAACGATAGCTTATTGCTATGTGGTCTATTTGTGTCCAGCGTTGGTTTGATGAAGGGGGTCTCCAAGTCAAACAGTGTCTCTCCTTGTGTTTGAAGTTAGTGCTTACAAGAAACAAATGATTATCAGAGCAGAACTGTAGGAGACGGTCACCGTTGTCGGTTCGCTGGCACGGAACTCCATAGGTGCCACCGACATCCTTCTCAGATTGACACAATTTCCCTACTTGAGCGTTAAAGTCACCAGCTAGAACGACTATGTCTGAGCGTTTAGCCTTTCTCACCAAACTAGACAGCTTTTGGTAGAACTCATCCTTCGTTTCATCTGAACTGCAGTCAGTGGGGGCGTAGGCGGAGATTACGAAAAGGCATCGGCGAGTAGTGCAGTCCTTCCTCCTTCTTACTGATCCGTTCAGGCGGACAGCACACATTCGGCTATCTACCGGGATCCAGTCAAGCAATGTCTTTTCTGCCCTAGTACTCAAAGCTATCCCTACGCCAGCTAATCCTCGTGAACTAGCTGTGGCATCTCCTGACACCCTCAAGGTGAATTTTGCAGATTCAACCTGTTGGCCAGGTGGGGTTAGGTGAATAACCACACTTGGGTCTTGTATGCGTGTTTCTGAAACACAGCATACATCAATGGCTCGTGATGCCAGGGTCTTGGCTAGTGATGCTTGTTGTCCTATTTGGCAAAGTGTCCTAACATTAAGAGCTCCTATATGAAATTGGTGGCGCGGCTTTAAGAGGCTGTCGGTGGTGGTTTTTTGGCTTCCATCGTTTTTAGTGGACGCAGAGTGGAGAGGAAGTGGAGAGCTATCAAGTCGAGGAGTTGCATCAGTGGAAGGAAGGCAAGATGATAGAGATGAAGATGAAGACAAAGATGAGTGAGTAATAGAGAGGTTTCGCGTGCGTTTCGGATTGTGAGGGCGATTGTTACTTCCCGGCTGCCCACACCGTGGAAGTTGGTTGCGTGACCGCAGAGCCCAGGGGACAACTGCTTGGG